CAGAAATGAGGACTTGGGCCACTCTGCCAAGTAAGGAACCACAATTAACTGAGACTTTCATTTCCCAAATCCTCCATGGTATTAGTTCAAATTTCTATAACTCCTTTATTTTTATATATACTTACAGGGACTCTGTTTTCCTGACTGAATTCTGTACAATAAGTAGATGAATACAAAAAATATGGTTTTCATATTTTGATAGTTATAGGTAAATATAAAATGGGTAGTCAAGAAGGAACTTATAACCCCCTCTCTGGTCCTTTGACCAGTATGGTCCCATGACCAAACATGATAGCACTAGTAGGTAGGAATGTTTATTTAGAATTTTGCTTCAAAAAGTGTGTGTTTGTGTGTTTCCCCTTTTCCAATTCCCTACTCTAACAAAAGACTTGTTAATAGTGGTTACCTATATCTGAAGATTAAAGTTATAGGATATTCAAGGGAGGATTTGACTAAGTAAAAGAGAAATGAGCAAAACCCAAAGATAGATAAGTTACTCTGCACCTCCTTTTTTGGGGTGGGGGGATTAGCATGTTTTTGTTCTGCAGAGGATAACTGTATCAGCTTTATGTCAAAGAATGACTTATTTTTGCCCTTAACTGGAAGTAGATGTGTTCAAGCGACATGAGTAGGGAGTCATGTTGACAAGGAGTACACTGTACTGAACTATGTTAAGTCATTTTGACTGACAGGGAATAACAGTTTGCAGAAACTCCTTTCCTGTATTGTTCAGAACAAGAGTTGACCCAAAATGGAATTATGGTGACATTTGTAAGGTAGAAGTAAAGCAGAAGACATCAAGGTCAAATACCTTGATGTATTTGACCATTGATTTCCACATTGTTCACACTTTTCTTTACCTACTGCCTGTTGAACTTGCTGGCTCACAGGGGTGCAGGCCCACTCCAGGTGCTTACTCACAGACCCACAGATGGAGTACCTACTCAGAGCCATGCACCTCCCACACCCTCATAAGAATTCCTGCTTGAGAAACATTTGAGTAATTGAGCATGCCAGACTTCGCAGATTTTCTTCAAGTCCCACTTGTCCACCTACGCCAGCTCTTTAGTTAGTGACTCTCTGATCTGCCAATTTCTCTCTTGCAGGCTTTCATTTCCCAATTCGTCCTTTGTGTTAGTTCAAATTTCTATAACACCCTTTATTTTTATATATGCTTGTAGGGACTCTATTTTCCTGACTGAATCCTGCCTCATAAATATAGATGAACACGAAAATATGGTTTTGCTGTTCAACTTCTTCAGGTGGCCCTTAAAATAACCCAAATAACATATACAACAATATGGTACAAAAGCATGGCTCCCCTTTGAAATAAGCAGCCAAACAGGAAGTCTTGAACTAAGCCTGTATGTTCCTCCGGTGATGACTGCCCTTTGGGTTCCACATCCACTAAGTGGATTAAATTCAATTACAATACTCCTTGTTAAAAGACTGTCACCAGGGGCAAAGATACTATCTTAATACAGAGTAATAACAGTGAGAGTTATTTATTTAACATCCAGTATATAAGCATTACTGTGCTCTGCAGTTTATCTTTCATCTCCATGTATTTCGCAAGTTTGATGTTATTGTCTTTTGTTTTACTGAGAAGACACAAACGTCCAGAGAGAGTAAGTAATCTTCCCAAGTTGTACAGCTAATAAATCCATTCTAGGTCTCAGTTCTAAATCAAGCGTTCCTTCTAGGAAGACATATGCGTGTATACTTTATATACAATTTATTAAAGTTTGTCTTCAGTGTTCTTCTGTGTCCTCTTTGAGTCCTCTCTTCCTCTTCATTCCTATATACCTCAGACTAATCTCTGTCAGTCTGAATCCTTTGTAAATTACACAGTCTGTTCTCTCTCCTCCTTTTCTGCCTACTCCCAAGAAGGGTATCACATAGGAAAAATTCTGAAGAATAAAGCTATCCTGTATTTTACTGACAAAGAATAGTTGAGTATTTTCATTTTCATGGCCTTAGAGCTGAAATTCATTCATTTATGTAATGAATATTTATCACTTTTCTGAATAACTACTAAATTGTTCAGTCCCAGTACTGAAACAGTAATGAAAAATCTCATCTATCAGGTCTCTGATTGGTATTTTCTACATGTATTTTTCAGTGAGTACAGGATTTGTTATCATATAAGGCATCCATTTCATTCTTGGACAGTTGTTAATTGAGAAAAAGTCATTCCTTTTATTCTTCTTGATTCTCTCTCCATTAAATTTTTACCCTCTATGCCTTCTACATGATATACTATAAACTCAATTCATTTTTGTCATATGTTAGCTCTTAAAATGTTTACCCCTCTTTTTCCTATCCTTAATTAATTGCTTTAGAATTCAGGCTTCAAGCAGCATTCGTGAGCATAAATGTTAAGATCACAAAAAATTCACTGATGTACCAACATTGTCAAATAGCACCAAATTGGTTTACATATATGTAAATATGGACTATGAACAACTTGAGGCAAGGTCTTATATCTTAATCACCTCTTTATTCATGTATGTAGCACAGTGCTTAGCACAAAGTAGATGCTTAATAGATGTTGAGTGAATGGATTCCTAAGCTAATACTTTCTTTTATTTATGTCAATCAGTGGAAACCCATTACTTGAGCACCTATTGTGCATCAGGCACTGTACAAAAGTGTGAATGGACCAAACAGGCGTGGATCCTTTCTCAGGGCTTAGAGTCTGAAATTGCTGAAGTAAATACAGAAACTCCACTCTAGGTGACTCATACTATTAATCTTGGGGATGGGCAACCCTACTGCTGAGCCTCAATTTCCTTACATACTATTTAGCAGTTGGACAAATGACCTATTTTATAAGATTAAATTCTGCAACTAGTATAAAGGGTATGGAATGTATAAAACATTATGTAAATGCTTACATTTACAAATTTGAATACTTTCCCAAATGGATGTTCTTTCAAATTCAAAGGCACTTCAATTCCCCAAACAGATACATGCACATTATTATATAAACAACACACATAATCCAACAACTCTAAGATTGTTGTTTTAAATCAGATCTCTATTGTATAATGTAACTTCCTTTATAGCATAATATTTTACATTTGGTATCCTCTGTAGGCATTAGCACGTTTCAGAAAAATAGCATTCAGTACATGAATTGATGCAACAGAAACAACGTAAGAACCACCACGGATTCTAACCTGAATAGCATTTAAGACATGCAAGAACCCCACGAAATGGCATGCAAACTGTGAGTCTGCAGGTCATGTGGTAGCATTCTTCAGTTTTATGACTCTCAAAGAGATCTGTTATGCACAATAATTTTTTACTCAGTATATATTAATTGAAGGTCAAATATTTGCCAGGCATTGTACTGTGGTTTAGGCTTAGAATCTAAAACTTTATTATATAATAAATGAATATTGTGTGCATCAAAATTTTACAAGATGTGCTTTCTCACGTTCACATCATTAAAATTAATGCATAATTTATTAATATATTTACATCCTAAATCAGCATGAGATACTCTGTGGTAAATTAATATATTCACTGGTAAATATGCTTTGGAAATACATTCTTATTGCTTCACCGGAAAACTTCATGATAATAAAATTTATAGGGGTTTAGTGTATGTTTACATCAATATACATGTGCATATATATACACACACACACATATCTACATAAAAATAAAGAGATCTTTAGTGAGTCATGCTGCTCAAAATATTTAAACCATCTATAATTCATCAGCTCTCTTTTACCACATCCAAGTTTTCATTTATTTCTAAAAATAACAATGAAGCTACTGTCCTTCAAACAAAAATGATGGCATGTAATGAAAATTTCATAAACTTGTTTTGTAAGCAATTTTCTTGGGGATTTTCTATTGAGTGAAATAAATAGCTTTCAAATGCTTCAAATGCAGGATAAAATGTATTTTTAAAATCTCAAGAATACCTTTAAAATTTAATGGCAATTTTTCTCCTTTGAAATCTTCTCTCTCCTCATTGTACTAAGCATCATGTATCTAGAGCCAGTCAATATTTATCTGAGCAGCTGTTTTATTTTTCTGAATAAAATTACTTTTTATCTTCGAGAATGGCTGCCATATTCTTGTCCCAAATATAAAAAAAGTATTTTCCCAGATATTAGCATAGCACATTTAAAGATTAAAACTCCCAACCACAGTAGATGTGCACTTTACAGTATGAACTTTTTAATGCAGTATGATCCAAAATTAATATTTCAAAAAAGGCTGGCTTATACTGTTAAGAAACCGTTTCTAATTCACATACTCTGCAAAACCCAGTTGCAATTAGTGATAGTGACCAGAAGATGGCGGAGTCTCATTTACTAAGATTAACATCACAGACGTGTAATTCACGTTAACTTTAAAAAGAAACCTTTTTAATGGCCCTCGTTTTCACAAATAGCAGGTAAGAATGAAACATAAGACATTCAGAAAAAAATTAAAAATTCAAATTTCCCCCAAATATTCTTATTACTACTCACTTATCTGCAAATAAAATATTTTAAAATACGTTAATTTTTCTCTCCTATGAACAAGCAGTAGAGGAGATGAAAACTGTTAAAATAATAATTACTTATAATTACCTCAATTGTTCAATTCTTCCTTTGGATCATATTATTTAGGCTGGATTGCTTTACATTTGCAAATGTATTTTATAACTATATACCCCACTTTTCAATAAAATAACAAGTATAGTTATAAAGTAAAAATTTCATAAATTATAATTTAGGGAAACAATTCATTAAAGTAAAAATATTTCCTGAAATAGCTTTATTCAAGGCACACATAATGTTCAGATACTTCTTTCACTTAGCAAATGCAGAAGAAAAGTCTTCATATCTACAGGCTATTTTATTGCTTGCTTAAAAAATAGCATTTTCAAGGCCTAGTAATCACATACATACTGAAGTACACTAATAAATGTGTGTGTGTGTGTGTGTGTGTGTGTATTTCATGCTTCTATACTCAGAGGACAGTGGACAGATATATTACAGATTGTCCTGATTTGGTCTGCAATACAGTCTACCACCAGTTATGGAGTCTTTACTGGGAAAGTAGGAAGAGTCCCTAATCATCCCTGAAAAGGTATAATCCAAAGCTGGCCGAAAAGGCAGGGCAGGAACCAACCCAGGAATCAGGTAGGGTGACATAAAGCCAGACAGCCCTCTTCCTGGAGGAGAATAGGCCAGCCGTAATGGGCTGATACCTAGTCTAGGATTTAAACCGTAGAGACTTGAATCACCTCCATAAGCAGAAGTGGTCTGAAGAGGCGAGAAAGCTGACTTACTACCCAGAGTTCCAAAACCAATTCCAGCTAGACTAAAACTTGAAGCTCTCTGAAAGGCTGTGTTTTCCAGTTCTCCTGAGCTTACTAGGTTCCGGGTGTCTGTCTTGTGGTCTTTCCCATTTAAAACCTGTTCAATGGCTTGAACCACATCCCCTTTGCAGAACTGTAGAATGCCTTCCAACCGGCTGCGCCTATAACTTGGGAAAATCTTGGTAAGGATATCAACAGGATCTCTTGGTCTTGAGGACATTGTGGGAAGGCTAGTTCCGGTGGCAGTGAAGTCTTTGACCCATTCGCTTTCATTTCCTGATTCCAGATCAGAGGATGATAAGGACCTGGGACTCTCTTCACCGCCTGATGGCTCTCCAGGATGAGGAGACCTGATGCTATCGTGTTTGTTGGAGTATTCTGAAATAGATGACCTGATGCTTTGCTTCCCAATGACACCATTAGACCTAGGAGATGATCCCAGGGAAAGCTGATGGGATTTGGCGATTGGTTCTTCTTGTCCACTCTGGCACGAATCACATTTACTCTCTTTTTGTTCTGGAGAAGAAGAAGGAAAAGAATTAAATACAGTAAAAACTTCCAGGAACATATTACTGCTGTCTCAAAAATAATGCTGTATAAAATAATTTACTCACTAGCAATAGCGGTGGTGCCAAAAAAATGTTATCTATGTATTTCTTTTAGTTCATTGTAATCAAAAATGTCTGAACACTGATGGCAACCATTTTGAGAACCTCGTGTAACAGTGAAAGATGATGCAAATTTGGCATTTTTCATAATCCTCAAGAATTTTAATCCCTGAGAAATATCAGCAAAAGACTTTAAAAACAAAATGTTTCCGGAAAAAAATACAAACTGCGCTACTGAAATGTATAGGAATCCTCAAGTTGTCTTCTAAAAACAATGTATTAGGCATTTGTCTTAAATCACAATCCCTCTTCAATATTTAGGAAAACTTTCTAAAAAATACTTTAAAACAAAGATCTAGTTTTACTATCTCAACATGTGGGGCATATTAATATAATATAAATATTTTAATACATGTTTGCCAGGATAATACCAGAATAACAAAGCACACAGCTAAACAACTTTTATTTTGGTTTACATTTTCTTTTACCCTATAGATACATCATATATAAGTAAGAGTGAACTGTTAAGTGGGATACCCACAGTACTTCTGTCCAACCTTCTTTTTCAACAAAGTTTATTAAGGGAACAAAACAAATATTGCCTAAAGCAGTGATATACAAGGATGGTTTGCAATCCTCTCAATTTCTCCAGTTAAGAAGTTATCCTAAATTCCAAAGAACGACCTATAGTTTATTTTAAAATTAAAGTAAATGTGTATAATGTAGCACTTTGAGGCTCAAAATGCTGTTTCTATATGAAGCATATAATAAAGCCTATTCCAACTGCAAAATTACAAAGACTTTATAATATTTTCAACTTTAAATAATACAATAAAACCTTTCTAATGAAGCCTGCTAAAGGGAAACAGATTGCCATCAGGTCTCCATTCCACTTTATTAATAAATATGATTCACTGAAGATGCCCCTGAACATGCAGTGTGTCATTTTTGCATCTCTACAGCAATTTATGCAAAAAAAATTGTTATTTTGTACTCAGTACAATATACAATGAAATACCAACTTGCATGCGACTATTTAGAAAATACAGTACAATGCCTTCAAAATATTGTGATACTATTTATATCATCCATCTGTCCTCTCAACTCCTAAAGTTTGTTTTACTTTGATTGCATTGCTCATTGTATATTATGCCTTGTATTGTAGGTTTTGGATACATATAGTATGCCTTCTTTTGAATATAAGGTTCTTTTGTGTAGGAAAATCTTATTCACTTGTGAATCACTGTTAGCCTTTGTCTAATGAATGAGTAAACTAAATAGACTATCTTACCATAGTTCAAGGCTATTTTATTATATAAGAGGAGGCAGTCAATTTAGAAAGCCATTGAAGTAGCCTTTCAAAAATTGTCTTGCTTTTTATGGGGGAGTGGGGCAGTCATCTGAGGCAGAGAATAAAATAAAATAATTAGCTCTATAAAACAGAACACTTTGGTGCCAAGTAAAAATCACATAAATCAAGGTCTCTCAGGGAGCTGCCAGTCAGAATTCACTATCATTATATTTTAAGGAATTTTAACTTGTATTTCTCTTTTATGGCAGTTTTACTTAATTACTTTACTCTTCAGCACTCCCTGATCTTTAATGAGAAATGTTTAATGTCTATTTGCCTATGAAATAAGCCAGAACGTGTGCAAAAAGTTAGTGTAGGCGAACACAAAATGATGTAAGCCTCATTTCAATAAAGATACAGTCTTTTTCAAAAGTATATCTTGTGATGTGTTTAGATCTGCAATTTTCACAATTCAAGGAAAGTTTCTAATAATTTACTGCGTTATATAGTAGAAGTTGTCTTGGATTTCGTCATAAATGTTGGAATGACATTTTCACTGCTAGTAGGCCTTGTGGAGGGTTAAAACGTTCACTAAAATACAGTAGGGTTTATGTTAGCAGGGTTTTTAGTAAGAGCTATCTATCTCCTAACACGGGCGATGAAGGGAATTTGAACTGCGGTCAATAATTAAGAGGGGAAAAGAAACTCTCTGGATAAGAAGTTCCCAATACTAAACTTTGAAATGCTTACCAACGCTTTTCCAATTAAATTGTCCAAACACATATTTAAAGAGAAAGGAGAAAGAAAGGCAGTTTAGTAGATTGCAGTCTCTTCCCCACGTCTAGCTGACGCTAAAGGTTTGCCCTCAAAGAACTGTTCCTCAGTCATCAGCGAGTTCCCTACGTAAGCTCAGAAGATTTTTCAGTTGGTTTTAGAGTTGAAAAGAGTAAAGAGCAAACTCAAACACAGAGCCTTTCACTAAACTCGAAGCCCGACTGAAGTTCCACTCAGAGAAAGTAAAATCAACTTGAGGGCAAATAACTATTCCTAGGGCGAGTTGTTCATTTGCAAACTTGCCTTAGGGATGCAGTTATTTTGCGTTTGCACCCACGCTTCATTTTTCTTTTATCTTATCCTACCCTATCCTAAGGGAACGAAGAGTAAGCCAGCCCTTCCTCAGGGAAGGTGATGGGTCTCTAACACCCTCACTAACTTCCAAAGACGGAGCAGTTTCCCAGAACTTAAGTGCTTCTTTTAAACAAAAGTTGTCTTACCCGCCTCCAGGGCAGGGTTGCTCGCGGCTGAGCTCCTCTCCAGGCCCTAGCACAACCATTTCCTTGAGCCAAGCGTAAGGGAAAGACCAACTCACCTGGCTTCCCCTCCGGATAGTCTGGCTGGAAAACCTCGAGAGCAGGGGTCCCCAGACCCCCGGCCTGTCTCCGGGAGTCCAGTCCCAGCACGGCCGCCGCCCCCGGGCCGGCCGGAGACCGCGGACTCTCGGTGCTGCCGCCGCCTCCGGAGGCCCGGCCCGCAGCCCCGGGGAGGCCGGGACCCAGGTACCCCTGCAGCCCGCGGGCCTCGCTCTCCTCCTGCGCCTGCTGCCTGCGCAGCGCCACCTGGGCGGCCATGACGCGCTGGCGCTCGGCGATCAGGGTGCACTTGGCGCACGCGCAGTCCCGCCAGCGGCAGAAGCGCTTGTGGCCCTTGAGCGCCGACACCACGCCGTGGTTGCGACAGCGGGCGCACTTGGGCGTCCGCGGGGAGCCGCAGCCCCCCGCGCCCGCGCCCCTCCCCAGTCCGGCGACCGGCGGGCACCCCGCGCGGCCCGCGGGGGTGGCGTTGGCGGCGGCGGCGGCGGCTTCTCGGCGGATCTGGGAAATGATATGACTGGATGGGAACAAGAAGGACTATGGTAACAATTCCCCGAAGGGACTGGCTTTACTGATATACCTAATTGTGAAAACATTTAACAACTATTAGCCAATCCGTAAATCTCCATCTGGTCGGTCAGTAAGCTCTCAGAATCCACTTAAAAAGGACTTGCTGAAATCTAAAGGCATACCTGTGTTGTACTTGATTGTTAAAAGTACCAGTAAAGAAAAAGGAGGCTAAGTTTATTCTGATTTTTTGTTGGTAAATTCTACCAGATTGATGGCAAAGCTAAATCTTATATATTTTTTAATAACTCCTGTGTCTAGGATGCATTGCATACTCAATAAAATGTTTGATGAATTAATTAATTTAACAAATCTTTGCTAACTCCTAATAATTATCTTTTAAAGTTATGAATATTTATAA